TTAAGGGTAACTCCACAGGCGACTGATCGAGGGTGCACGGGGGGGGGCATATGTGCCCCCCCCCCAAGTTTGACCCCTGACTTAGCACTGCTCAGGATGGGACAGGTTTTTTGCCGTGCAGGCCAGTGGTGTATTGGGGGGGGGCGGGGGGCGGCACTAAGCCGTGGCACAGAAGTGTAGGCGTGGATATGGGGCTTTTGGCCTGCCCCTGGGCCCACCCCCAGGCCTGCCCACAAATTGTGCCTCCCCAGACTCAGGAGGCACCTTTCACCCCTGGGTAACTCAGTCATTTTCCTGCGCTTAGACATGTATTAAAGGCTTGAATTATGTTGGTGCCTTTGGAACTTGCTTCTCATGCAAGCAGTCTTTCTGGGTCTCCATGGGAATGCCTGTGAAAGGAGTCTGGCAAGAGTAGGTCTTTTGTCATGTGGAATCCTCTCTACTAGTAACTTTTACAAATCTATCAATAGATTACAAACATGGCCTCCAGTCACCCCTGAGAGAATAATTTCTGTTCATCAGTGATCTGACTTTCAGATTTTCAGCTAGGACCAAAAAGGTGAAGGACTTGATGTCACTTTAATATTCTCTAAACCATCCAATTCTCAATTCATTTTGCTTTTATGCAAACTATTTCAAATCACTCTTTTAAAGTACAAAGAACAGCCTGAGTCATAAGCCGTTTATTGACTTGGAAATGATTTTATAAAACTCTTTTTTATCTGAATAGCTCTTTTCAATAAAAAGTTAATTAAGAGGGTGTCAAAATTGTGAGAAATAACTAACCTGACTTCCAAGAGAGACATTTTATGGCAGTCCCTATTTTGCTGAAATCAGAATACAACAGCATACTTTTTGAGTATTTAATTACTCCTTTTTTGTAGCTGGACCTTGTCTTCTAAAAAAATAATATTTCCCTTATATTAAGATAAAAAGAGAATGCTCCTTTGAAATAAACAATTCCTATAAGCATTTATTGCTTTGTATATAACTTTTTATTTCTCTAAATTGCTTTCACATTCACTCTGTCATAATTGAGCAGAAGAGAGAGACAGGAAAGCTGAAGCACAATAATGTTACCAAATATGAATTAACCACTTCACTTAATTGGTTTGATTCTTTAATGTATAATTTATATTGGCTAATTATACAGCTTTTGTCATTTAAGTGGTGAAGTAAATACAACCCATCAGTCTTCTTCTGAAGCATATTTTAACAGTTGGAAATCAGCCACAACCATCCACAAGGCTACCTTAAAACTATCTAGCACCCAATGTGTTATGAGTGAGTCCACTAGGTCCAAGGCAGGATGTGCTGAATTGTTCTTTTTCTTAACCATTCATCATATGCATTACTAGTTAGGAAAGAATGAGTGTCAGTTCCTTTTTAAACAGAAAAATCACCAAATAAATATTTAAATGCGAATTGCTCTCATTCATCTTTTCCATACAAATATGACACCTCCCTTTCACCTGAGAGGTATTACATTATTTTCTTGATCTAATTTAGAACAAAGTCCCCTTTCCCTCCCATCAAACAAAAATCCTTCTTTTTAAGGGGGGGACAGAGGGGAGCATGTTTGGCTATGAAAATGTTTACAAATTGTTTTTCCCTTTGTCTGTGAAGGATGTAAAGTCATTTAGAAAGGCAGTTATAGGTTAGTTAAAATACACATTGAAAACCCCCATAGAGGCATACTTGTAGTAATGAAAACCATTCCTCCTTCCAGTTATAAAAACAGACTTCTGTTGTGAACTCTCTTGTTTTCTGAAATGTGGGTCAAGAGATACCTACAGCTCAAACAGTTTGGAGGTTCCCCTTTATTTTTACTGGTCCGTCTCATTATCTAAAGATATGCAACATGGGAATTCCCTGCTGAATACTCTTAAAACACAGTTATATATATAAAACAAAAAACCCATGATCAATCCACGGTCTTCCAGCACTCGAATTTCATAGCCCATCTAAGCCTGCCTGATTTTTTAAGGTACCCTCAGCAAGACAAAGGTTATATTTACTTTCTTGTGTGTGTTTGGTAAACTTGGAATGCATTATTTATCTATGTAGTTTATTTTATATGTAGTTTTTCACTGTAGTTTCTTCATTAATAATATATGATCTTTTACTTTTTTGGAAAAAAATATAATCCTTCTAGTTAAACACAGAAAATAAGTCTAAACCTTTTCCTGTTATATAAATAGTTTGTCATTCCATAATATAATAGGGCATGCAGCATCTTTGGCACAGGAACTTATTAGGTTACTTGCTCCATTAACAAACAACCTCTGTGAGGTTCTGAGTGTCCCCGCTCACACTGAACAAGTTGAGAGCACTCAGGGGTCTTGCAGGACTGGGCTTAATAGTGAAGCTTATTTTTAACACAAAACAGAGATTAGGCACTAGAGACTTCTAAAATGTGACAACCCAGTGGGTAAGCAATCTACCCTATTAAACACTCGTCCTGATTAAAAGAAGCTAAACTTTCAAGGGGAAAAGAAAAACAATATAAAATAATCAACTGAACAAAAATGCAGTTATGACGCTTGAATTATTTCTTTCTTTATCTTCATTTGTCTTTATCTCTATGCAATAGTGTGCTGTTGAGAAGTTCATGTGCATGACATGCCAAGTTAAATTCACTTAATCCTTTACTCTGTCTGAATATGTTTCCATTAACCAGAACATTTGCTCTTTCTGTTCTGCTTCAGTAGTTATTACTTCTCCCATACCTAGATACAGTAGTCGTTACTCCTCCCATGCCTAGATACATTCCCTGGGTTACATACCTCACATAGACTGCTTCAGTGAATGATTATCCTGATAAATTATATCCTAATTCAATCGTGTTGGAGTGACATTGTACTCATAGTAGTCCAGGAATTATGTCAGAGGAAAAGTTTTTTGTGCAGTTAGTCCAATAAAATATAACACCTTCAAAAATCCTTGCCTCTCCCAATTCACTGGAATATTCCAACCTCTGATATTTTAGCTGTAGGCCATAATAAATGTTTATATCTAGTACCAATGTTCATCTTAGAAATTTCCTTCTTCTCTTTTGTTGAAAGCTACTGCTATTATTTAGTTTCTTTGGCATTTGATATAATAGAAGAATTCCAGTAGGGTATAGAAAAGAAGACAAGCTTGAACTTTTGGGGATATTTTGCTCCCAAACAGCCATGATTGGACAGAAAAGTTATAACTACAGGACATACATTAAATAAAATTTTCAAGGTTGTCTTCATGGAGGTGTAAAAAAAGAAGAATCTCATTGTTTCTCTGTGGGGAAAAAAACATTGTTTGGCATATGTGATGCTAATATATTTTTCTTTACACTTTCAAAGCCTTCTGCCTATTAAGCCACAGAGTTATATTGTAAGATAAGTTCAAGAGCTGACTCAAGCCCATAACAGCAAAGAGTGCAGAAACTTTGACATAAAAAAGAACATTATTAGGTTACTTGAATATTGTGAGCTATGAATTGGTCACACTAGAGAGTTCTGTTTGAGCTTTCTGTTGGTTCTGAGACTTCTGCTAAAATGTAATGGAATCCACTACTGAGGGAGGGTAGGTCAAATGTTTATAAATGAGAGAAAATTATGTTATTGTAACAACACAGGTATGGTTCTATGATTTGGGGTCCTGTTGACTGAGGGCCAGTAACATGCAATTACAATATAAGATGGATACCTCACAAAGTAGACTTGCAATTCATTACACTCAGAGCTATATAAATAGTGGGGGGAAAGCAGTGTCATTTTATTTCCAACTTGTTTACAAAATATACTGTTCTGATTATATGAGAATGTCTTGCTTTGTGTCCTTGCATAGGTGACTGGTAGGGGGTGCACGTGCCACCCTGACAGCTGACACTGATGCTGTTGGTAGAGCTGGTGCCACCCCTAATAGGGTCAGCGGCTTCTGCAAGTGCCTCCCCAGATTCAGGAGGCACCAGTCACTCATGTGTCCTTGGCAACTAATAATTTGGTGTGACTACCTAGGCTTGGGATTGCTTAATGTTTGCAAAGCTTATTACTTTGAGTAAACTCTTAAGGACCTCCTTTTCAGACATGCTGAACAGCCACAACTCTGCTAAGCTTCAAAGAGAGATGCAGGTGATAACACTTCTGAAAATCAGGTGCTAATTCATTCAGACCTTTTCCAAATTAACACATTTCTGAAAAAGCCTAATTCAGACTAAATCATATAAATTGTTGGTACGTGATCTCTACTTTTCTGCTAAGAGTATTTTCCAAAACAGAATAAACCTTGATAGGTTAATTGGGTGCAACAGACTTTAACCCACTTCTCACAAGAATTGTATTTAGACAGGAACCAGTACTACTTCTGATTTTACTATCAGAAGTCATTTGGGCAAGGTACAGACATTTAAAAAGCCCAAGGTCAAATAGTACTAAGTTACACACTTTTCTGTAAGTGGTGTGTTTAGATCAGTAGCAAACAAAACACACATTCACCCTTGGTGGGGGGGGATACAAATCTTAGCTAGGGTTCCGTCATTTTTAAACGGGCCTAAGCATGCCAAACTTCTCTTCTGTTTTGGGTATAGACTTGTTTTCTGTGCCAAACTTCTTTTCTGTTATGGGTATAGGCCAGTTTCCGATCACCTGTATTGATAAAAATGTAATATCTGTACCTGGCTTTGAAGAGTGATATGCACTTTGCTTGAACATTCTATTACTACCAAAACCTCTTTTTCTTGTTTTAGAAAAAGGTGCAACTTACCAGCTCTGGATCAGATCTTGTAAAATGCCAATACATTTTTTTATTGAAAAATCTGCATGACTGGACCTTCTATTCTGTAAAATCATTTCTTTTCCTCAGTCATAATGGATAAAAAAATCTATTTCAAATTATTTCATCATGAGTTAGTCCCCCTGCTGCCTGGCCTCCAACTCTAATTCTTTTTAAAGGTTTATTTACATTGATATCATAAACCACACTCATTTGGAAATTGATGTTTAACATAGAATAAAACATACTCTTCGGAAACCGGGGCGGGTTGTCATTTACATCCATGAGAGTGATGTTTACAGTGGTAGTGCCAGCTAGTCCTCCCAGCTGTCCTCCCATGTCCTTGGCTTGGATCAGAACTTGATACTGTTCTTTAACCTCCCGATCCATGTTTGGCAAAGCTGTTCTTATTACACCTTGGAGGAAAAAGAGAGAAATCCAGTACATATAAAGAAAAGCAATCTGACTGCAAGTCAACTGATTATACAATGCTGTAAGCAGTACTTTTTTAAAATAGCTTTAACAGCAAGTTTTTAAGTGCAGGTTAGACAAATATTTCTTTGAGATCATCTGACAGAGATGATCCTGTCTTGAGTTGGTCTGAATTTCTTCAGGTCTCTTTCAGCCCTATGTTTCTGATTTCTTTAGACAGTCAATTAAAGACTTACAAGCTTCAATGGAGAAAATGTGTTTTCTTTAATGGTGTCAATAAGGAGAGGATGAATGTCTGTTACATCAAGAAGGAAAGGTTGTGAGGAGCAGCCCAGATCCTTAAATGGGAGAAGGTGTGAACTTTTGACAAAAGAAATGCAGAAAGATGTGAGTAGCCATTATTGTTTTCAGGCAAACAGAACACCCCACATCTCTACCAAAACGGAGACACTCACTAAGTAGCATCCCTTTTTACAAATTGAAGTGTTAGATGATCAAATAATCATCTGATATGACAACTGAATGTGCTGAAACCTTTTACTTGTTTGAAAAGCTATTGTAAATATCCTACTTGCACTACTAAATATAAAATTAATCATTAGTTAATTCAGTTTGAACAGCCGACATGTAGGTCTTCAATAACTTACTTTTTGATATGTTAAAAGTGTGGCTTATGGCCTAATTCCTTCAGAAAGGTATGCTATCTTGTCATAAACCAGCCCCATATAATGCAATATAATTAAGCAATAAGTCTCTGAAAATGGTTCAGTGCAGGCAGTTTAATGCAGACAGCCTGTGTGGTTATGAAGCAAGCCAGTTGGAGAAGGATTATTATTATTTCAGAAATTCTTATTTATGAATGTTTGGCTGGTTGGTTTTAAAAGCAGTCTTCCTTTCTGGTGTTATAATGTAGGTAGTGTGATAAGAAACACTCTCTTGGGATGCTTGTTATTTCTTTAGCAATTAACAGCTGGTGTGTCAACCAGTAAGAATGGAATCAATTAGTTTATAATGCTTGTTAGGAGTCTAGAAATAACTTTTGATTTGATTTGCCATTTTCTCAACTTATCAAAAATTCCTATTAAATTGAATTGTATAACAATAAAATTGTTTTTTTTTTTCATTTCTAACATTGATGGTGGTAATAACAACAATTAATAATCATGTCCTCCCTCCTACCCTGCCATGGCATTCTGGGAACTGTAAAAACCCAGAAAAATAATAACTTTCATCTACTGCTTTTTTTAAACAATTAGTCACACATGCATATAGCACTGAAGCAACATATTGTCATTCTTTTTAAAAATACAATATTATAAAATGGGCTTTGCTTGGCAAGGCAGAACTATCAAATTATAAAGTTCAAGAACAGATAAAGTAACTGAAAATACAGATGCAAAAAGTGAATAAAACACTAAGAAGTGTCAGCGCTGTGTATCACTGCTAAAATAATGTATTAGGGATTGACAATAGAAAGGAAAAGTTGCAATATATTTTTTATCACAACAATATTTTTTGTAAAGAGGAAAACCCCGATCAGCTTTCCACTTAAAACAGTCTTTCCCCAGGTTTACATCTATGCTGTTTTACAACATCTTTCTTAAGATCAAGTCTAAAGAATAAAGAGCTATGGAAATTAATAATTTCTCTTATCATGAATAAAAGTAAAAAGAAAATGAAAATATCCCCCCAAAGGGGGAAGAGCTCTGATATATTCAGTACTTGGTGGAACAAGCAGAGACTATTTCCTGACCAGGAGCTGCAATTCATTTGATTTTTACATTACTCTTTTAGATATCATGGAGTTGCTTCAACTCTGTTCAAAATCTTCCTAATGATGCTCAGTAAATGAAGAATTGGCTGTCATTCTGGAACCGAAGTGCCTAATCAGCCACTGTTTTTCCTGTCTGGAAGTCTGAGGGCATTCTGCAATTTTTCTATGAGAGATCTCTGTCTCCAGTAAAAATCAATGAGAATAATTTTAATGTCAAAAATAGTTCATAGGCATTTTTTTCCCTCACCTCTCACCGTATATTAAAAGACTAAATGATAAACCACCTCTTCTACTGGAAAGCATGTATTATACATGCCAAAGAACATATTTAAGACTAACCAGAGAAAACAATCATTGGAAGTAATGACTGCCAGGAAAGAATAGAATACAGGAAAAGTTAGGGCCACATTGCATATTACACTTAGAACATGTTAAATGCATTTAAAATATGAACATCCAAGTGTTCAAACACTAAAACACATGCTAAGTGCACTTGTGTCACTGCAAAGTTGCAACTTTTTACAGGAGGAGTATCTCCAGATTGTTTGAAGTAACACATGTTCAGCTGTCATCATGGAGAAAATATGAACAATTTGCAGTCCTCCAGCATTGCCTAACCCTGTTTATAGAGGCAGGTGGGACTGGGCAACTAGGCAAAAGATTCCCTAAGTGGTGTATTCAAATTAGTGACAAGAGAAAGAAGAGGAGCTGATTCTTGCATCCCCCAACTCCCATCAGCTAATTGTTTGTCCTGGCCACAACATCACACCAGAGTCTTGAACAAACTCAATGCAGGGCTGAGGCTAACAATAAGCTGTTTGTCAGTCCTAGCCCCAGAACTGTACTAGATCCAGTTCAAGACTTTGGTGCATAGCTGGGGCTGGGATTGACAATCAGTGAGCTGTGCTTGTTAGAGATCATAATAAACATGATCAGAACATTTTCTAACTTTAATACTGCATAGATGTAACATGTGCTGTGTGTCCCATGTGACAAAGCCCTTAGTATTTCTTCTTCATTTTACAAAGAATAGGAGAATGTTCTCTAAAGGCTTATTCTAAGAAAGATATCTCCACACATTTCCTACTGTACTGAATGCATTTACATTTCTCTTCCTACAAGATTTTAGAATAAAACCAACTGTGTTTCTAGCACTTAATAATACTTGAAGATTTGGAAATATGATAACACTGCAGCTTCCAACTGGCTAGAATTGATCAAATGTAGGTCTCAATGCTGAAGATAGGACCTGGGTCCATATTGAGCCAACTATATTCAACTGGGCTTAAAATGGTGTGTGCAAGAACGTAATACAAACCAAAATTTTTAACCCCTAATATATGTCAAACATGAATGTGTTGTTAAAATTAGGGGTTACATTTTTAACCCCTAATATATGTCAAACATGAATGTGTTGTTAAAAACCCAGAATATCCATCTTCTTATCTATGTGTTAATGTTTCTGTTTTCTATTTCTGCCATTACCTTGTGTATCCTCCCAAAGGGCCCTATATTCCTCTTCCTTATCAAAAGTATCAGAAGGGAGACATATCCTGGGACTGTGAAATGCTAGTGTTTCAACTTCTCAGCTATTTTCTACATAAGAGAAATGGGATAAGGCTATCAAATATTTGGGAATATCTGTTCCCACACCACATGGAGTTTAGACTGGTTATGTCTATCATCTCTCTTGAGGTGGCTTTCAGACTCACTATTGTCTGCATAGCATCAGTGCCCTCATGGCTGATTCCTTTGCTTTGAACCTTTTTCAACAAAAGGTCAGACTGAAAGATAAAGGCACCCAGAAATGCTGGGAGCTCCAGTAGGGTATTCTAGCAGGCTGAGGATTTACTCAACTCAAACAGTCTTTGTTTGCCTGCAGTCCTTGTTTATTGTCTCTGCTTCTCCAAGGCAAATTATCTCCATGCAGAAATGAACACAGACAGTTAACAATACAAAGAAACAGGTAGCATGTGGTCTTTTCCCAGACCAACAAGAGGGCCCAGGCTTGAGTCTGCCACCACCAGCCCATACTCTAGCAAGTCCCAATCTCTCTGTTAACTCACAGTGTCTCAGCATCTCTCTGGGCTTCTTCATAGTCTCTCAGAACCATAGAGAGTGTCCTAGCTCAGGCTTCCATCTCCAACCCCATGGCTGGAATTCCTATCTCCCCCATGGGGTCTCTCTGGGAGCCTTTTAACTCCCACAGAGCTAGCTAGTTACTAGGGCTCTGAGAAGCTTGGGTCACTGATTTGATTTGGCCCAATTTGGCGGCCAAATCTCCAAATCCAAATAAAATCAGGAGACCCTATAATCTCTCCAAATAGATTCAGAGAGAATTGATGATTCAGACATAGACACAGCTTTAAATATTTTTTCTACGTACTTCAAGGTACCAGGCGGCTCATGAATGCTGAGACACTGGGACAGATGGAGCATCCCACGGGAGTGAAGAGGGATGCCCAGTGCAGTCAGCAGTGGACCCAGAAGTGGACCAGAAGCACTTCCAGTCCACTTCTGGGTCCGTCAGGGAGTGCGCGGACCCTCTCCCCTCCATTCTTCAGCTCAGTGACTGGTGATTCCTGGGTCGGGGGGAGGGGCACCCGGGGTCCTGACACAGCCGTACCTCATGTGCTCAGCGGTGGACCCAGAAGTGGACCGGAAGTACTTCTGGTCCACTTCCGGGTCTGCCGCCGAGCACATGGGGGGCCCCCTGTGCTCCTCTGGAATGCTCCACCTACACCACTGTCATAGCATTCACGAGACATGCCTGGTACCTCGAGGTATATAGAAAAAGTATTTAAAGCTGTGCCTATGCCCGAATCACTGATTCTCTGAATCGGCATCAGCCAAATCAAATTGGGACAGTGAATTGGATTCAGCCAAATCAAATTGGGACAGTGATCCGAATTAACAAATTGAATCACTGTCACTGATTCAAGCTGAATCTGAATTGAATACAGCCCATTTCACACACTCTGAATAGTTAACTTTGTCAGCTGGATAAGTCCTCCAGAGTGGTCCTGCAGCTGCAGCTCCTTCCATGCAGCCTGTTACAGGTACAATATTGGAAGTCCAACAAGATGACATGATGGAAGCACAACAAGAATGGCAGGAAACCAATGTGGCTGCACAAGGAGTTTCTAGGATGCCTCAAATGTAAAAATAAAGCATACAAGCAATGGAAAAATGGGCAGGTCACCAAGGAAGCTTACCAGGAAACAGGAAGAAACTGCAGAGACAAAATAGGAAGGCAAAGATAAAGAATTAGTTCTACCTGGTCAGGAAGATTAAAGACAACAAAAAGGGTTCTATAAATATGTTGGTTAGAAAAGGAAGACCAAAGAAGCTGTGGGTCAACTGTTAACTAGCCAGGAAGAACCCTTAACAGAAAATGCAAAGAAGGTGGGCTACTTAGCCTTAGAATTCACAAAAAAAAAATTAAACTGTAGCCAGATGCCTAATAAGGAATATTTGCATAAGGAAGGGGACAAGCTGGATAAAATAAGAAGAGAGACAGTCAGAGAGCTTTTGATGAGCCTTGATGAGCAGGGCCTAATAAACTTCATCCTAGGGTAATGAAAGAACTGGCAGAAGACATCTTTGAGTCCGTGGCAATGGTATTCTTGAAGTTCTGACAGAGGAGCAAGGTACAAGAGGACTGGAAAAGAGCTAGTATAGCCTGTTTAAAAAAGGCTAAAAGAAACCCAGGGGAATAGACTGGTTAGCATTACCTCAATACTTGAACACTTATTGGACCATATCTTAACGAAGGTCATTTGTAAGTATCTAGAGGAGGAAAGGCCCATCACAAGCAGCTAGTATGGATTTACTAAGAACAAACTGTATCACACAATCTTAGTTTCCTTAAGAAAGTAACTATTTTGGGTGAATGAAGGGAATGCTGTGGATATATATTCGGACTTTAGCAAGACTTTTGACAAAGGACTGCATGATTGTCTTATAAACAAATTGGACAAATGTGGGCTGGACAAAACTTCTATAAGGTAGATAGACAACTCTCTCAATAACCACAAGCAAGGGGTGTGTACTGGTCCCACTGCTGTTCAATATGTGTATTAATTATTTGGATCCTGGCATAAAAAGGTTCTTGAGCAAGTTTGCCCACAAGACAAAACTGCATAGGACTGTGAACACACTGCAGAATGGGAACACAATACAGAAGGACTTCGACAAAATGGAAACCTGAAATGAAGCTAATAGGATGAAGTTGATTTTTGATAAATGCAAGGTACTATAGCTCAAGAAGAATAATCAAAAACACAAATACAAAATGGGTGACACCTGGCTGGATGCCAGCACTATGGAGAAGGATCTGGGAGTGTTGGTAGATCAAAGACTCAATATGAGTCTTCAGTGGGGCACAAAAGGCAAATCTGGTTTTGGGATGCATCAACAGAAGTATTATATGCAAGGTGTGGGAGGTGATAGTGCCTCTCTTCTCAGTACTGGTTAGGTCTCATCTATAGTATTCAGTTTTGGCCTCTACATTTTAAAAGAGACGTGGAGAAGTTAGAGAGGATTCAGAGGAGTGCGACAAAAATGATAAAGGGCTTGGAAAGGAAGTCATATGAGGAGAAGCTGAAGGAGCTAGGGATAGATTAGGCTGTGGAAAAGCAGCTTAAGAAGGGACATGATACCAAACTTCAAAAGAAGAGGTGAAAACACCTTTTCTCTCTTACTGTGAGGATTAGGGTGTGGTCCAATAGCCATGTACATTTAGGATGGATATCAGGAAAAACTTCTTCACTGTTAGCCTAGGGAAGTTGTAGACTCTTCACCATACCCATCATCTGCATGTAGTAGGGTGTGTGTGTGTGTGTGGGGGGGGGGAGGTTGTGTGTGGGGTGTGAGGGAAGGTGTGGGTATATGTGTGTGTGTGGGAGGGTGAGGTATGTATGTGGGTACAGTAGGGGTTGGGGTGTTGGGGGGATGTGGGTGTATGGAAAGGTATGGGTGTGTGGGGGAGCTTGTGGGGGGTGTGGGCATGTGTATGGGGTGTGTGTCCCCAGAGCCACATGGGACAGCAGCGTGCAGGGCCAGCCTGGCCCAGCCCCACAGCATACAGCTCCCACATTCCCACCCCAGGCCCTGGTCCCACATGGTGGCAGCATGCAGGGCCAGTCCCATTTGGCCCCATAACATGTGGCTCCTGCCCAAGTTCCTGGCCCCACGTGGTGGCAGCATGTGGGGCCAGCCAGCCCCAAACCCATAGTGCACTGCTTCCCACTCTCACAGTCCCCCTTTCCCCCAACAGGAGTTCTTGGCCTCTGCCCTGGTGAGTCCCTTACCTGAATTTCAACTCTCACAGGGAAGGCAGGCTGGGAAACAACCACAGGGTCACCAGGCAAAAACAGCTGCCAGGCAGAAGCTTCTTGTCTCTAGCACCCCTTACCTTGGGGCTAGGGCTGGGGCAGGCCAGGTCAGGCCAGGTTGGGCTGGGGTGGGGATTGGCTGCTTAGCAAGCAGAGCCAGAGCTGCTGCCCAAGCTTTCAGAGGGGCAGCTGAGGGCTAGGGCCAGTGATAATTGTCTTTTGGATTTTGGAGGGGACCTGCAGGCTGAATGGAATTGCCTGGCAGGCTGAATCCATATTTTGCTTGTCCCTGGGTTGTGTTGTGTCTTGTGTTGTGTCAGGGTTGACTGTGTAGTTTTGCTAAGTGGTTAGACAATGGATTTGTATAGGATGTTTTGGATAGGGATGTTCCTCAGATAGGGGGTTGAACTAGATGAGCTATGGAGGTCCCCTCTAGCCCTACTTTGCTATGTTTTTATGTGTACAATGTAATATAATGCTGCTCAGAGTAGCTTGAATCTATATATAATTTTATATGAGTGCATCAGTATTTCAAGTGAACATACAATCATGCTGTTTGCTTTATAATTTCTTTCTTAGGGCCTGTGACTTCTCCTTTCAAAACCAAGTTCCACCTGAGTATCTTAGTCAATTGGGCTCATGGTTTATAAATTTTCCCCTCTGTATGATCTTCCAGGACTATTTAGAGGTAATTTATTCTCATATGTTCTGATCAGAACTAAATAAACTGGTAAGACCACATGAAACATTTCAGGATAACTTGTTCTAATTTGTAGGTATTTGGTAACATCATTGACTATTGTTGAGATATCATCTTATAGCAAGACAAAGATTTCTGGTTCACCATGACATCACTTTCCATTCCCCATAAGACTGTGTCAAACAGCTAGCATTAAGGTTAAGTCTCCCCCTTCCTCCCCCAGGTACCTACAAATGTCACATTTTGATTCTGAAAGTAAAGATGCTGGTCATATCCTGAAATATGATGTCCTGCTAAATGGAGCATATGAGAAAGGAACTTGCCCTTTCGAGATCATATAGTAATAGTGTTGTGCAGCTCCCACCTCCAATTATTGATTAATCAGGTAGAAAGGCTCCTTAACACTCAATCTGACATTCAAGAACAGCTTCGCTGCTAAGAGAAATTCCATGTGTTCAAAGGGACTTGTGGGCAACTATTCTTCTACATATTCAAGACACACCCTTTGTAGCACTATGTAAGTTCTTAGTTTCTTCTCTGAATTATTCAATATAGAAATAGGAATGACATTTAGAAATATAGGACAAGACACCCAATTAACAAGTCTTACAGTCCTTGAGTATTACAGTCTCTTTGCATATACCTATGCTACCACGGTTAATAACCTCTTTCTTCCAGCAAAGAAGAGGGCAGATACTGATCCCTTGTCCTACCATTTCAAATTAACAATATGAAACTAAAGAATCATTGCTTGAGTATACTAGAATCTAAGCAAGTGAGTAAATAAAATGAAAAACTGAGATAGGGAATTAAAATGTGAAAAAAGGGAAGGAAATGCACAGCACTTAATGCCAGGTACATCCTTAAAAGCATGGACGATATACTATAGCAGGAAAGACCTCTCTAATTCATACATATTTTAGACCTTCTAAATTATATGTCTGGCGGCAATTTATTCCAAACCTGACTGCACTATGTGCAAAGTGAATGTATTGGCTTTTGGATGTATCATCACATTAGGCATTTATTTTTATGCAACCCAAAAACACTGACCACATGGATGTTTAATCAAAGTTTAAACATTTGAAAGGGTAATGGATAATGTTATTGCTGATGAAATATTTACCTGTCTTAGGATCAATGGAGAAATATGGTTGCCCCTGAAGTATGCTGTAAACCACTCTGGCACTGTTTCCATACGTGGGATCATCAGCATCTGTAGCTTTGACTTGAAGCACATAAGCACCTACAAAAAATACAGGCATTTTAAGTTCCAATAGAAAACGTAGATTAAGGATTTTTTCTAGTTTTTTGGTGGACTCTGCTATAATCCACTTTTCTTTGGAAACAGGGACAAGAACAATGTGTGTCTTGGGCTCTTAATAGTAAAAATGTAAGTAGCACCAGGGAGAAAACATGGTGGATATTCTGTATTCAGAAGAACTTAAATGCCATTCGGTATCTGCAAACTGGATGGGAAAACAGTTACTTTCTTCTACAGAAGGAGACCAGATGCAACAGGGAATGCAGGTCAGGGTAGGAGGGAGGAAGCTAAAGAAAATTGGGTTTCCTGGGAATTTTACCAGTTTAAAATAAAACTTCACTGGAAATCATATATTTGAGCAATGTGGCCCTGAGGATCTAAATGGGCATTTATACACATACCTTTTCACACTGTGACATGCTGGTGATCTGACATGTTGAAGCAGACTCAATTAATCGAGTCTGCTCCATGTGTGAGCAGATGCACACTCTGCTGCATCACATACAGTTGTATAAGTGGTGAAATGCACATCAGCATGCAGAAAATGATGACAGTGTGCTTTTGTACTAAAACACCTTCAATGTGTTTTCATTCAAAAGCACACCACCACCATTTTCTCAGTGCTGACTTACATTTAGGCATTTATACAAATGCATGCACCGCAGTGTCGTGCAAGTGCAAGCATGTGTACAAATGCCCAGTAAGGCAAGGGCAACTTTGGAGACCCTGACACTCTGAAACCTAACATCTTTACCAAAGTCTGCTGAAATCCATGCTAATGTTCATCATATAAGAGAAAAAAGGCAGTATCAAGTGTTTACATCTGCCTAGAGTGCTTAGCTTGAGGCAAAATTACAGAGCCATAGAATCGTAGGGACCTCAAGGTACCTTGTTCAACCCCCAGCATGACTGTAGGAATTATCCCCACCCAATGCTTATCCAACCTCTTCAGAAAAACCTCCAACGAAGAAAGTTTTGCAACTTCCTTGAACTGTTCATTCCACTGTTTCACTCAGTATGTTGGTTTCTTTGCTATTAGTTAAACAAAGGCAATTAATAATACTGCTTACATTGTTGTATCTGCTCACTATGGAAATTCATTTCATTTAATTATCAACTCAGGGGTCCCTCCAAATGTTAGTATCAACAGTCATTGTCTTTTCTGATAATAGAGATTTTACAACTGCATGCAGAAAGAGACACCTGTGTGACACCAGCTCTAGAGATTTCAGTTACGGGAAAACAATTTTACTAAGCCTGAAGAAAAACCAGGCAACATATTTGGAGGCTGATGTTCCCAGCAGCAGGGGAGGTTTGACATTAATAAAAGAATAAGACCTATGAAGAGGTTCAGTTATTTTTTTAAAACCAAAAAAATATTTCCCTTACATGAATAATAGGTGTGCTGAAAATATAATGACAGATTTTGATATGAATAGTTAGGAATACCACCATGACACATACAGAACAGGTATTTGTGCACACAAACAAACAATCACGAGAATAAAATCTGTCAGTTGGCATTGAAGCAAGTATTTAAGGAAGCAATGACTTGTTCTGCCTGCAAATAGAACAATAAATACTGTACTACAAGCGCTACACTGTAGCCTCTTAGAAACAAACACTCTCTAGTCTAGAATACAGGCCAACAAGCAGTCTATATATTTTCAATGAAATAGATATTTTATTTAGGGAATTGGCTAAGAAATCCAGGCTTCAGTCTTGTTCATCACAGGCCAGCAAGAGACAGCAGCACTGCTGAAACAGAGCATTCAGTTTCATATAGTACTTACATATACTAGATATTCATAATCAGCCATGTCTGTAGGAAACATAAAATGAAGTTACTTTTGTTCCCATACAGGGTACTCATGCAATGATGTACATAGGATGGCAGACAACCTAGACAGAAATGTGTATTTGAGTTAATAGTGAATTCTTAATATAACATGGCTGTCTTGGGAACTCCTTTATTGATGCTAATCACCCTAAACACACCAAAAAAGCTGTGATATACAGCCAAGCCCTCAGATACCACCGCATTTGTACCGAAGAGAACACCTGGGATTGCCACCTCACCAATCTTAAAAAGGCTTTCACCCAGTAAGGACATTCCTCCAGAGATGTAGATCGCACGTTTGAAAGAGCCACCTGGATACCACGTGATGAACTGCTGCAGTACAGAAGAAAACCACCCACAAATCGCACGCCGCTGGTTATAACGTATCATCCCTCCCTTGAACCTGTACGGAAAATCCTCAAAAAATTGCAACCCATACTAGACAGAGACCCTATTCTTAAAAAGATCTTCCCAGAGCCACCCATCCTAGCCTTCAAACAAGCACCGAACCTCACCAACCTCATCACCAGAAGCAAACTTCCTCAAGCCCAGAACACACCAAAAGGATCCAGACCGTGCCAGGACAAGAAATGCAAAACCTGCCAACACATCTCCACCACCCCCACTATTACTACACCCCACAACAGAGCCATCAGCATCCCAGGATCTTACAGCTGCACCTCCAGAAATGTTATATACCTCATCCAACGCACCAAATGCCCTGATGGAAGATATGTAGGAGAAACCAAACAACAAGTGTGCACCAGAATGAATGCACACCGGAAATCCATCAAAGACAGAAACACTCAATTACCGGTGGGGGCACATTTCTCACAGGAGGGCCACTCTCTCTCCAATCTCTCAGTCCTGATCCTCAAGGGAAACTTACACAACACTTCCCAGAGATGAGCCTATGAGCTCCATTTCATCAACCTCCTGGATACTAGAGATCATGGACTAAACATAGACATTAGATTTTTGATACATTATAATCTGCTTGGCAACTGACTCCCCAGGCCCCTGGCTTGTTTACTTTTCATTCCATCCAGGAAGAGCACACACCAACTGCTGAAACTTCCTTAGCCTGACGAAGGGTTTTTGAACCCATAAGCTTGCTTCATAACTATTCTCCAACTATTTGGGTTGGTCTAATAAAAGATATCGAATTCACCCAAGGAACCTTGTCTGCCAATATTAACTACATAAATTTACTATGTTTCCCTTGTACTTCATATGAAGCAGCAGTTCTAAACATCTGGGCTGCAGACAGTGAACTCATCACATGAAGTTGGTTCTTCCTCAATGTTTATAAAAATATTACTTTCCTAATATTACACTTCTATGTGCAGTATTTGTCGTTGCCACCTTCATTTAAGCAATCACAAATAGGAAAGGAAATGGAATATGCAAAAGTGAATGTGAGAGGAGATGGTATCACAGAAAATCTTCCTATTATGATGTGGTTTGCAGAGCAAAAGACATTTGAAAACATCTGGCGTTCCCCCAAGAGTACCCAGGGAACACTGCAAATGCTGCAGAATTGTTATACAGGCATGTGTGTACATGTGTAGATATATATAAAGGGAGGTGCGTCTTGCTCTCTCACTCTCTCTCTCTCTAGTTATATGTAATGTGTGTGTGTGGGGGGGGGAGGGAGTTCTCTCTTGCTCTCTCTCTCTCTCTCTATAGCTCTATGTAGATATAGATATGTATTTCAGGTCCCCTAGCACTAACTTTGATGTACTTGTCAAAGTTTGTTTTAATAACACCCCCCACAGCTAATCTGATAGAGAATGAATCTGATCACAGAAGGGTTTGACATTTTTGGAGGCTTCCCCCTTCCCCGCGACATGTATCTACTTATCAGGATTGTCAGCAGTGCTGGTGGCGTTGGAACTAATAGTGTAAAAGAACTGGACATTTGTTGGTTAATTCTGTGCATGGTTGCTTCAGTTACAGTGAAGGTTAAGGTGTCACAGGAGATTTCCTGTTACATACAGAGGAGAATACAGAAGCATGAGAGTTTATGAAAAGCTGACCAGTTAAACAATGTATTTATTTTTTTAAATGTTGGTCATGTTTACTGGCTCCTTAGCAAGTTACATTTGAGTCAACTTCTAAATAGAAGAGAAGATTGAGAGAATATTTCAGAGAATAATTGGATTCAATTAATAAGAAGCCAGAAGTTAATCTCCTTTGATTTGCTTGAAGTAAGGGATGAGGAACACATGCTTCTGAAGCCATAAGGTGCCAGAGATCCAAATCAGTGCTGCTACCATGCTACCACATTCCTAGGAATTCTAAAAATCCTGAGCTCTTCAGTATTGATAGTGAAAGAGTGGATGCTTTATGGTAAATCTTATGTGGTGCCTCCTGCCCTGGGCTTCCGCTTGAAGAGTGAAATGACTTTTATGATGACTCATGAAATTGGGTCATGAAACTAGTGTCTGGGTCTGTAGAAATCAGAATAAATATGCTGCATTTACCCAAATGTTAGACAACCCCCCACACCTAGATTCTACACATGAAAAATTTATAAATTTGTTATAATTTCCCATGTATGGAATCTAATTATTGGAGGATCATCTTAAATTTAGCCCTGCCCACTACTGCACATGGTGAGAGGAAAGGATATGAGGGGTGCAGTAAGGCATGCAGGCAGTGGGGGACAGATAGTGGAGGAGAAAGTAGGGGGGCACATGGTAGGACAGGTGATGGGGGCAGTAATGGGGCAGGCAGGGGAGATGATGGAAGACAGGCAGTAGAGGGGAAGGTAGTAGGGGGCAGGCATTGTGGAGGCAGTGGGCCGGGCAGTGAAAGGTAGGCAGCTTGCCCATTGCCCCACCTCCCACTTACCTCCCATTATGCAGACCCCTCACCCCAAGGCCAAGGCGGTGACTGAAGTTAGATTAGGAACGGGAATCAAGGACAACAATAAGTCCTTGTTTAGGTATGTATGGAACAGGAGGAAAACAAATGGGAGTGTGGAGCCGCTGCTCCCATGAACGATGCATGCCCCCGGCAGCTGGGGGGCGTGGCAGTTGTGGGAGGTGGCAGCAGAAGTGCAGTGGTGGTTAGCAGCAGCCAGCAGCAAACGCAGACCACTTGCAGATGCCACCAGCAGTGTTGGCAGCAGTGTTGC